AATCAATCAATCAATCAATTAATTGAATTAATCAGTCTTTTCTTATTTTAATATCTCGAACCCATTCTTTTTTTTTTTTTTAACGGGGGTGGGTACCCCCCGACACCCGCACCCCTCCCCAGCCCCTCAACCGACCCAAACACACCCTGGATGGCCAACTATGGACGCCCTGAATCCCGTACGTACGGCCGTACGGCCCGTCTCCGTAGGTGAGGCTTACACAGTTCACTTGTATGCGCCTGCAGATGTACACACAAACATAAAAGGAGAAGAAGAAGAAGAAGAGGAGGGGAGAAGAGGAGGAGGAGGAGGAGGAGGGGCGGAAGAAGAACAGAACAGAAGCTGAATAATGACCCCAGTACTTTTCCAGGTAGAGTTGTGTATCACTATGAAATGGGAACAACTTAAGAAAAAACTTACAATTCTTGTCCTCACGTAAAGTTATCCTTCATCATATTCAATGATTCAATCAATGCTGGCTAGGGGGAACCTATGGGGGAAAGCTGGGGCAGGTTTATTCGGGGAGGGGCAAAGAGAAGAGAAGAGGAAGAAGTGTGCAGGGATTATTGGCTTGAATTTGAATTTAATGCCTGTACTATGGTCGACCCTGCAATACCTTTACGCCCTTATCAGAATTTCCAGACCCCTTTCCTCCCTCGGAGTAGAGTATGGTTCCAAGGGCCTAGTTTGGTTATGAGTGAAAGAAAGATTAGTTGAATGGGGTGAAAGGACTGTATTTCTAGGAAACAAGATCATGGGAAGATGAGGATGGAATAGTGCTAGGTTGATTATGCATTGATCTGGTGCCCCAATGGGGTGAAGAGGCAGGACTTTGTCCGAAGTTCTGTATTGTCTTGGTTCATCATAACACTAATGTACTCAGGGGACCCTGGACCCAGTTTCCAGCAGGTGCTCTTTGTACAAGGAAAATGAGCAGAAGCGAGATGACAATAACCAGAATGCACAATCACATTGAAAGCCAGAAAGTATCACAGTGTCCAGAAAGCAGCATTGCACCAATATCACACCAATGAAAAATCGTAACACTGAAAACCAATGTTAATGAGAGCTTGCTCTCGCCACCACCAACATGAGTGTCCAGGCCCTATCTTCCTACTTGGCGCTCGGCGCCCTGTGACGAACTACTTCCCGAACCCGTACTATCTTTCGTACCCCTCTGGCTCCAATTTTTTCCGTGTATCATACCAACCCCATAAAAAACCCAGTTGTTTTCTTGATTTCGGGCGCCGCGTTTGTGGCCCCCATTTTGTCGAAAGCTCTTTTCAATTCTTGGAATTCTTTTTTTGCAACTCGGGAAATACATAGGAATTTGTGCGCGCCCTAGCGAGCGCATTGGGAATTGGGTCCGGCAGTTGGGAATTCCGGGATAAGCGGAACTTCGACGTGTCCTTTTTGTATGTGAATGTTCTCGGTTGCGTTGGGGAAAACTCTCTGAATTTTGTGAGGATACGAATAGGCGTAGGACTTTCATTTCCCGCGTCGTCTTTTTCGCGCGCGGATATGGTGATTTCAATTTTGAATTGGTTTAGGACATAGGGAAGCTGTAACTGTTTCGGTGCCTTTTCATTTTCTTTCTGTTGACGGCGCCACACATGCGAAGCTTTCTTTCCTGCCCCAGTGCCCCCCCCCCCCCCGCTGTGTTTCCCGCATCATTCTCTCCCGTGCTCTTTCCTCCTTCCCCCTTCTCATCCTCCCTTCTCGCAACTGTTTTCTCTCTTTCTCTCCCGCTCTGATCCGTTGCGCGCCCATTTCCCTTTCTTGATCACCTGAATCTTGGACCCGTCTTGCGCTACTTCTCACGCCCTTTTTCCTTTCGCCCGACGAACGCGACTCGGAAGCCCGGTCGATCCTTCGATTACTCTCGCCCACCAATCAGACGCGTGGTACGATAGGATCTGCCCATTGCGCGACGAACCTGATTGGCGAAGCCCAGAGTCCCGAAGGATCAACATGGCTTTCGAAGCGCGCTCCTCGCCAAGTCTTCTCCTCCTGCTTCTTTTCTTACACTTCGACTTTCCCCCTGCCTTCTCTCTCCCTTGCCCCTCTTCTCGCCACTATAAATTCCGCAAACGCGCCCGCAAATCTCTCTTACGTTCTCGACTCCTCAGCCAGCTTCCGGGAAGCAGTGGCTAGGCAGAGTGTTTGATGCGAGTTGGAAAGTCCTGTCGGGCTGTCGATAGGCTGGCCGGTTGCGCGCTTGATCGCCACGACGGACTGTGGGATCTGGGCGAACCGCGTCGAGTTTACGTCAGCGGGGTGACGATCGCAATGGTGGGAGTTAGCACGCGACGGTCGGGATCGTCGGTGCGGGTATGAGGATCAATGATTGGAGTTGAGTGGGTGATTGGCCCGGGGCCATATCGGAGTTAACGGCGAATGCGCCTTTGTTGTTGCGGATCTTTATCTCTGGCGTGAGTGCACGGCGGCAACGTTGAACTTCCTCCTTTCGGATCTTATCATCTTCTATCTCGACTTTCCTCCCTCATCTCCCTCTCTCTCTTCTATCTTTGAATGATGATGTGTCTCGATGTTTGCCTCCCCCTTGGATGAGAATGAATCTGTGTGCTTTCCCGTGTGAAAGAACTTCTTCCGGAACTTTTCCATTAGTTTCTTGGGTAATCCCCATACGTCGAGGAATTGATCCTCCTGTCTTGTGAACGGTGGATGCGTGTGTACAATTCCCTCGGTTGATTTCTGACTCGTATACCCCTGTCATTTTCACACCTTCCACAGTGAATGTATGTATGAAGATGCGCGTCTTTTCGTGTTGATTAGACGCAGCCCCCAGCAGGATTTTGTTCGAGAATGCAAGAGTGTTTAGATCTGTAGTTCTGAAAGCCCTGCGCATGCCATCTCCCTAATGATGCATGACATCAGCAACCGAGCCACCGGGCGGCCTTGGGAAACAAGGCGCTTAGGATCAACGCTGCGTTGGCTTACTAAACCTGAGTCGCGGGTCGGTCCCTTAGTTACATGCCTGATCAAGCTGATGAGTGCTTTCTTTCTCTCTCTCGTGTTGAAAAGAAGTGATTGGTGGTGGCGCGAGTGTTTTCTTTTCTTGATGACGTCCCGGGAGTTTTGCAATTGATTGACATGTGGACTGACAAACACCCTGCGATTGGGCGTCAGCCTCCCGTATCTCCCGTATCAACACGACCTTTTCCTTACAACCAGGAAAGGACACGTGTATGCGAGTGGGACGTACGAGAAGCCGTCGCACGAATCAGCGAGCAATATTTTTTTCCTCTGAAAAACCGTTGTTCAGGGTTCGTACCGGCTGGGTTTGCCATTATCGATACACACTTTCCACCCTACTCGATATTGTTGCCATTCAACGAGTTGATAATCATCCCGTGGACGACAGTAGAACCCCACTGGCCGCGCACTCTATGCACCGAATGCCAGCGCTTTGAGCGCTACGAAACGAGGGGTTTCCACTACCGTGTGCGGAGTGAAGACGAACATAGAGAAAGAGCCACGCGACTAAGACCATCCCCGTCGGATTCAGAACTGGTTAGTGAACGACGACGAAATTTTATACGGAAACGAGACACGCGAAGCGTGCCGAAGCCTTTCTGTTCTAAACGACGGGTCGTAGCCAGGAGGGAAGTCTGACAATATTTTCTGGATTGAATTCATATTTCTCTCTCCTCTCGCGCCAAACTTCCGCGCGCATTTTGCGTCGCTCGAAAAACGATCGACTTACTTCATCGGACCAACACGGGGGATCTCAGTTCCGTTTGTGTCCCTACACTCAATTTCCGAAAATCCTTGGCACACCCCATCTTGCTGTTTTTCTGGGCCTCTTTCCACACATCTAGCACTCCGAACGAAAGACAGCACAGGGCGTGAGGTTGGTATCGGAGCCGAAACGTGTCGGTTCTGATGATAGTGAGTCGAACTGGCGAGAGGTAGGAGAAGCCCTCAACTAGCTCGTCGAGATCGCCCCATGACCAGGTCTTGATCTGGTGCGGTTGCACCCGCAATGCCAATGGGAGACGGCACTAGAGTGATCGTTAGCATTTCTGCCCCTTTCCCCTTCTTACCTAACCATACCCATCCCGAGGCTTGGTTGGAAGTCGTCGAAGCTCAAGGCTACAGTGTGGGCGATCTTCCCCGCATTCTTACCTTGCTACTCCGCAATACGTCGCATAATTGGTTTAAAAAGCATACGTGGGTAAATTGGAATACTTTCAAACAAGCCTTCTTGGCTCGATTCGATACGGTCAGTGAAGATGCCGCCTGGTACGTGCTCAAAACTCGGCCACAAGGACCAGGGGAGTTGCTGCCCGATTTCGTGGATCGATTTCAAACCACGTTGGACAAATCCGGGCGAGACGAGAAATCCGCTGGAGATTTGTTCATCGATCACCTACGAAGTCCGACGTTGAAGGGGAAGTTACAGAAAAAGGTCCCGCCAAAGACACACCAGCTATCTGCTATCGTCACTAAAGCGTTGGAATTAGACCTGGCTGATACAAATAAATATATCAGTCAGGGAGATGAAGATACTACGAACACCATACAAGATGTAGCGGCTAAAAGGCGATCGTGGTTGCGGGCGGTAGAACAGTTTTATCCCCGCCCCGACCATGACCTTCCCGACGGGATCGCTTCCGATATCCCGTCTGTTTCTTCTTCCTCTCCCCCGGTGAATCAACCGATAGCGGCAGTTAAGAGCAGAATCTCGCACGAACTCCCCTCACCGGCCGTAACCAACGTACATCTTGCCCAAATGATCCATACGGCCACTACCAAGCAGTCCGAATGGATGAGCAACTTGATCCAAATGCAGGCTGCTCACATGAAGCGGATGGAACAGATAATGAGCAGGCTAATTAAGCCTAACCTGGCCCCCGCTCGGCCTTCCCCCGCGTCATTTCCACTCTTGCCTGCCCCGCCTGCACCAGGATACGCACCTCAGTTCTCTCACCCAGCTAATCCAGTAGGAAAGATTGAGTGTTTTAACTGCAAACAACCCGGACATTTCGCCCAAAACTGTCCGCAGCCAAAGCATAATCAGCCCCCACCTGCTGCGGCTCCTGTGGCCCTGAATCAAGGACAAGTGGCCGCATTGATGGATACGGCCCAACAAGGGGAGCTCGTGGCATATGCCCCAGAACAGCCTTCCCCCTTGATGACAACGGCGTCGACATCGGGGGCTTCTTCCTCTGACGTTGCTAAGGTGGTCGATCCACTTGAGTATCTTCATCTCGCCGGCATGATCGGAGCGATCCGATCGGCCCCTGATGATCTCGAATGGGTCGATCGCGAATCCAATCCTGGTCCGCAGTTTCGGACGGGAGAAACTGATGTATTGAGAGCGCTCAAGCAATTGGATATTCGCGTTCCTATCCCAGTAGGACATTTTCTCACCATATCCGAAGCTGCGAATGATAAACTCTTGCAACATTACCAGAAAAATCAAAAGCGCTTTACGTACCAGCGCATACAGCGGATGTTAAAAAAGAAGGAAGGAGGCGAGGAAGTTACACCTCCCGAACCCGAAGCCGCACGTACAGCACCGATCCCTTTAGCAGAGAAGGATCACTTCGTACAAGCTCAGCCGGTACTGTGGAAGAGCGCGAAATGTGATTGCGAAGTTTGGGGCAAGCTGTTTAACGCCCTTATCGACACAGGGTCTTCTGCAGTGGCCATATCATTAGACACTATCAGAAAGACAGGACGACTCGGATCCATTCTTCCTCAATTTGGCAAAGACAATTATGTCTTTGCCGACGAGGAAGCAATGAACATCGTGGACATTATTGAGAATGTGGCTGTAAAGGTTGGACGAGTACACGTCCTTGTTAATGCACTAGTAATAGATGTGCGTTCCTATTCTGTGTTGTTAGGACTACCTTGGGCGATGGCGGTAGGGGCCCGTCTGCATTTCGATTCAAAACAACTGGTGCTCACGCAAACTGGGGGAAAGCCTCAAACTCTTCCCTTCGGAATTTTCACCCGAACGATAAAACAAACTCCTAACTCAGCCCAAATAGGGATGATTCGATGAATGGATCCCGATGACTATTCTTCCTCGGACATCGGTAGCGGAATCGGGGAACAGGAATACGAAGAAGAACTACCTACTGAGCACCTGTGCGAACTTTTCGAACACGAAATTCCCGAAGAATTTCGAGTGTGCCCCGACACTGCCCGAAGCTTCCACGTGGATTCAGGAGACAGCGTGCTTGCGCCTCCGAAAACCCAGGTCAGTCCTTCTGTCCTCCTCGGGGAACCCATATTACAAGTATCTGACCTAGCCGATGATTTGAAACCCCCTCGTACCTTGTACGAGGGAGCACTTTCCTTACAAACGCGTTATCAACAAACGGAACAGTATCTAGACGTTTCTGTTTTCCTGCCCAGATCGTTACTAACGACGGGGGCGACCATCCCTTTGATTAAACAGGAAGCGGAAGCGCCGGTAGATGACGTGCTTGATCTAATGCAGGAGATGACGGACCTAACAGTTCTAACTGTGGAACAGACTTTGGCCGACTCAGAAACTGACGCTGAAACTAAAGAAACCGAAATGATCAGCCCCGCCGAATCACAGATGATTGCGACTGTCTTCTCTGTTCGCACCAATAGTTCCGTTTTTTCGAGTGTCTACGATCAACGGGAGCGGCCGATTGATTGGATCGACATACCCCTTCTGATTTATGGGGAATCGACAATCACCCTGCCAAACCACGTCCCCACGGAATTCCAGAAATCATTAATCTGTGTTTTGAATGGCTACGCGGAGGTATTAAGTGTACATGATAACGATATTGGCCTCACTAACGTGATCGAGCATGCCATTCTCACGGGAGATCATCCGCCCATTAGTTGCACTCCTTACCGATACTCACCAGCTCAAAGAGCGGCCGCTTTTCAACGGATTAAAGAATTCGAAGCTAATGGATGGATCGAACACACAATAGGTCCATGGTCTTTTCCCGTAGTAATTGTGCCCAAAAAGGCCGGAGGGATTCGCATTTGGATTGATTACCGGAAGTTGAATGATATCATGGTCAAAGATGTGTACCCCCTCCCCCGGATTGATGAGTTGTTGGATGCGATTGGGAGTGCTCGATTTTTCAGTAAGTTTGATGTTCGCCATGGGTTCCATCACCTTCTTGTCCGAAAAGAAGATTGTCCGAAAACGGCGTTTGTGCTCTTCGAGGGGACGTGGCAGTGGATTCGATGTCCGATGCCTGCGACCTTTCAGCAAGGCATGAATATGGCTTTTCATAATTTCGTGCGGAAGACACATTTGGCACATAGCATCATCAGCTATTGCGTGATTGTGTACATGGATGACATTCTGGTGTACTCGAGTTCCTACGAGGGACACGTGCAACATATCGAATGGGCGCTGCATGCGTTACGAGATGCGGGCTTCAAGGTGGCGTTTCAGAAGTGTCAGTTTTTCCTTACCACCATTTCCTTCCTGGGACACGTGGTAACATACCAGGGACTCCAACCGGAACCGCATAAGGTGGCAGCTGTCAGAGATGCGCCGATGCCTACAACTATCACGCAAGTTCGCGCCTTTTTGGATCTGGCCTCGTACTACCGAAGATTTATCAAGGGCTTCGCGGCGATTGCGGGACCCCTCACAAATCTTGCTGCGCAAAGATCAGTCATTGATCTGAGCGTCGGAGTGTGATCAAGCGTTTTCGAAACTCAAGGCCGCTCTCATCTCGGCTCGGGTCCTTATAAGGTCGGATCCCGAAAAGCCTTTTGTTCTCATTACTGACTGGTAGCCAGAGGCAATTTCAGCGATCCTTGCCCAGGTGGGACCAAGTGGACTCGAGAGCGTGGTGGAGTATGCGTCCAAATCGGTGCCCGCCTGTAAGCGCAACTACGCCGCTCCAACGGGAGAATGCTACGCGGCTCTCTGGGGAATCAGTCACTTTCGCGCTTACCTGTACGGGCGGAAGTTCACCTTGATAACCGATCATGAGCCCCTGTTGGCTCTGAAGAAATCGAAGGATTACTCTGGCATGATCGGGCGATGGGCAACGGTGCTGCAGAGCATGGATTTCGACATTCGTCATTAGAAGCACGAGAGACACGGAAATGCGGACGGACTGACACGACTCCACCGGCCTGAGAAAGTTCCGAAGAGTGAGGAGGTGATTCCGTGGAACGAATCCGAACAGGAGATTGGACCTCGGTACGACCAAGTGGAGATCTTGTCGAAGCAGTAAGTGATACAAGGACCAATTTGTCTGTTCTACCCTCTCCGCAATACAGTCCAATCTCTCCTCCTCTGTCATCATGACTACCCCACCCGTTTCCGCAACCCCTTCTTCTCCTACTAATTCTGCCCCTCTCACTTCCTCAACTTTCTTTGCCACCCTCCTCGATAAGTTCTGCTATTTTTGTACGTGTATTGCACGGGTTTATGGGGTCGACTGTCATCCTTTCGAAACCGGGTTTGTCGATTGGATAGAATGTGCCACGTGTGTCAATCGTGCGCACGGGGCCTGCGTTCGATATTGGACGAGTAGCAAGGAATGGAGGTGCCCCCTGTGTAGAACGAACAAACTCCCCACGGAGGTTCGATTCGAGGCCGCCCGTACGGACGACCCTGAATACGACGAAAAATACCGACGAGCGGAGTTTGGATGGATAAAATTTTATTGGCGAAATTAGCGGGATTATCGTTGGGTCACCTCACCAAACACGACAGATGTAGGGCAACCGAGAGATCTCGGGACTATCGATGGATCAACGGTCTTTTGGAGAAGCGTAAAACTGACGGATCGGGTTCGTGGTTGACGGTTTCCCATCCATTCCAGAGATATAATTGGATCCGATCGGCTCACGAAGAACAGGCCACTCATTTCGCGATACGTGTCACGGAGGCAACTATAGACCAGAACTGATGGTTTTGGTCCAACATACGAGATGATGTCAGATACATTGTCGCCAACTGTCTGGTCTGTGCCGCTGGTCGCGCCCCAATACGGGGACCAAACACGATAGTACCAACGAAAGTAGAGCGCCCCTTCCAGCGAGTCAGTATGGACACAACAGATATCGACGTGCCACCTGGCCCAAACCGCTATGAATATTTTATCCTGTTAGTATTAATAGACCATTTTTCCAAGTACTTCGAGGTCTATCCTTGTAAGACCCGAAAGGCCGCAGAAATAGCCACGTACATCGAATGCTTCCTCTATACCCATCTAGATACGGAAGAAATTCTAACCGACAATGGGTCCGAATTTAAGGGAGAAGTAGAGGAACTGCTCGCACAAAGAGCCATCACGCTCCGACATACGGCACCCCACGTGTCCCAGTCGAATGGGTTGGCTGAGAATGCCAACCGTATGATTAAAACCGCCCTTCGTAGGAATTTAGCGGCACACGACATGCGTCCGTGACCCAATATCGTATATCAGATCGTCGGGATCCACCGGGCCACCCCTCACGAGTCCACGGGGTTTACCCCTTTTCAGCTTCGTACTAATAGCCTCCCTTGTGTCGACTACCGGGGTAACTCGGAAATTGCCGAAGCAGGGGGTAGAGACACGCGTGCAGCCCTCAAGGCCAAGGCCAAAAGGTACACCGAATTAATGGAGCAGGCCGTTCCGAAGCTAGCCCGAAAAAGACAAAGGATGACCGATCTGGCCCACGGTAGGCAGGTCCGTAGCTACGAGGCTCGGGATGGAAATGTTGGGCCCCAGCATCAATATAAATTATAGGACCTAGTGCAGGTACGTAAATATGCACGCGACCGGAAACTCGCTCCCAAGTTTTCTGGCTGTTTTCGCATTGTCGAGCTCGGATCCAACGACGCCAACACGATGCGCATCGCGCCCGAGACTAGTGCCAACCATAGCTTTGTCCCCATCGTCCGACATACCTCCTACCTCCGACCTCTCCCTCCCTCTGATCTTCCCCCTTCTTTCAACTCCGAAGGCGAGGAGAATGACGACGATCTAACTCTCTCTCCGCTCTCTCCCTCCTGCCCTTCGTCTTCCTCTCCGTCCTCGCCAGGAGTTTCATCACGGAGCGGGCTCTTGATGATCAGCTGTTGCAGCCACGTGGCCACATCTCGGAAATTCGGCAAGTTCGTCATCCACGGCTTAATACAGACCTTCGACGTCTGGCGCAGTTCTTCTGTGACGTGGGTGTGTGTGCAGCCGCCACGTTTCGATTCGAAGGAAGTCGGCAGGCAATAGTATTGGCAGAGGTGGTAGCGGTACATCGGCGAGCGGCCCCCGGGACGAGCCACATCACCACGGTCGCATCTTTTAGCGGCGACATCAGTACGGTCAATCCACTATGGCATACCGCAATCTTGACCTCGCTGCGAGAGTGGACGGAGCAGGTGTCCAACGTGTGGCAGCACGGTCTTGCCCGACCAGGGCACAATCTCATCCCGATATTCGCACCTGATCTTGACGGGGTCCGCCTCTCTCCGAGCAAGCAAGCGATTGCGATCCCCACCCTCGTTGCTTTCCCCCACCCCCAATGAACCGCGCCGCCCCCCTCGCTCCTCTCTCCATCTTCGGTCTCCTCTCTCTTTTCCCTACCTTCTGGCAGTCCGATCTTCATCCTCACCTTTCCCTCTCAATTGAACCCCGTTTCGTCCTGCTTCTTAATCCCGGGCATTGGCGACTTTGGCGAGAGACCTTTGTCGAACTGTCCATGTGTTTGGCTCAAGTGTAGGTGACGTGGACGCGGACCAGCGAGCATCCCACGTGTCTCGAAAATCTGGAATTGCTGATTATACAAGCTTGGAGGACTAACGTGGAAGGTGATCTCCTCGGTTTTCTCTTCGGATCGGTGCGGCCGGGACATCGCCAGTTAATCGCTCAAGAACTCATCACGTCGATCGTGCAACTGGCGGACGATCTCTCTCCTGACATCGTGTCGCAAAGCGACGACAGCCTCGCTCCGCACGTACTCACGCGAACGTTGGATCCGTATCTTCAGTGGAGTGCGTGCTTGGAAGAGCCTGGGGGCGAAGACTCTCTACCGTCGTGGAAGGAGTATCTGAAGCCATACGGCATCATCGATCACGCCTTCCATCCGAAGGCAGAGGAGGTGGCGATAGAGGAGGTGGCGATGGATGAGGAGGAAAGTGACGGCGACGAGGAAACATGGGAAGAGGGAAGCTATAGCGAGTATAGCGAGGGCGAGGAAAGCGAAGAAGAAGAAGAGGAAGAAGAAACTGGGTCTGAGTGGGAAGCCTTGCCGGAGGAAGCAACGCATACCGACACGGAGGCGGAAGATCCTGAGGCAGCACGAAAGCGGGAAGAAATTGCCACCGGGAAACGCCAGCTGGAGTTCGCCCGCGGAGCAAGCCTGCGCATCAGTGACGATCCGACCAGGGATCAGGAGCCGCCGAAGCCCGAAGATGGCGACCCAGCCGCCGCCACCCCAAGCACCTCACGGCGGAGACGGAGCCGATCCTCCTCCCCCTCCAGCCCCACTCGTCCCCCAGTTCGTCCACGTACCGATGCGGGGGTCCGGGGGATAGGCCTTCGTCCTCGGATGTTATCCCGCCGTCCCCTTGATTACCTCACCCTCGAGCAGATCCGCACTCCCGTCACCTTCCCCCGCAACCCTTTCCCTCCCCATCTCTTCTGTCACTTCTACTCTACGCGCCTGGTCGCTACCGTCTACCTTCATCCCTCCCTTCAGCCCGCTGCCCCCACGTTCTGTCTGCATATCCTGTTGTTCAGTGTTGCATGGGAGCAGTGCAACGTAATTGAAGTTTACTGCGTAGCTATGGGAACAATCCCCGCCTGTCGCAATTATGATTTCTTTCGCGCAGCGCTCTTCCGCACCCTCTCCTCCCTCTACCACGACTATCTCGTCTCCCTCCCTCATAGCGGCGATCGCTTCCCTCGCTTTCACCGGATCATTCGCTATGACGAACTTCCGGTGATGGTAGAAGGGATGAACCGATACCTGCCCCCACTTCCACCCCGTCATCCCCATGAACTCCCCGCCATGTACCGCGTCTACTTCCCCGTTCCAACAAGGCGGTAAATCCCAATCGCCTGACTACTCCACTCCCTCCCTTCACCCAGTCAATAGGGGAAGGCGGCACGAATCAGTAAGCTTCGCGAAGATCACGCCATTGACGATGACGTCAACTTACGCTCTGATTCGATCGACTGCGCAGGACAGGGGATTGCATATGACAGGGCTGCAATCCGAAATCGCGATGAACCGGAGTGCAAAGCACACGGAGAACCAGCAGACCATGATGGCGTCACCTGGACGACCTCCGACGATGCCAGCAGCACGAGCAGATTGCAATTGAAGTTGGCGTCAACATGGACTCTGGCTCGATCATCTGTTGATACGCTTGGTTCCTTATGCATCACTCTTCCCCCTCTTTCCTTCTCCGCCATGACATGCAATCAGGAGATCGCATAATTTTGGAACCCCTTGCGCATCACATATGTGACGAACTACTTCCCGAACCCGTACTATCTTTCGTACCCCTCTGGCTCCAATTATTTCCGTGTATCATACCAACCCCATAAAAACCCCATTTGTTTTCTTGATTTCGGGTGCCGCGTTTGTGGCCCCTATTTTGTCGAGAGCTCTTTTCAATTCTTGGAATTCTGTTTTTGCAACTCAAGAAATACATAGGAATTTACGCGCGCCCTAGCGAGCGCATTGGGAATTGGGTCCGGCAATTGGGAATTCCGGGATAAGCGGAACTTCGACGTGTCCTTTTTGTATGTGAATGTTCTCGGTTGCGTTGGGGAAAACTCTCGGAATTTTGAGAGGATATAAATAGGCGTAGGACTTTCATTTCCCGCGTCGTCCTTTTCGCGCGCGGATATGGTGATTTCAATTTTGAATTGGTTAAGGACATAGGGAAACTGTAACTGTTTCGGTGCCTTTTTCATTTTCTTTGTGTTGACGGCGCCACGCATGCGAAGCTTTCTTTCCTGCCCCCCCCCCCGCTGTGTTTCCCGCATCATTCTCTCCCGTGCTCTTTCCTCCTTCCCCCTTCTCATCCTCCCTTCTCGCAACTGTTTTTTTTCTCTCTCTCCTGCTCTGGTCGGTTGCGCGCCCATTTCCCTTTCTTGATCATCTGAATCTTGGACCCGTCTTGCGCTACTTCTCGCGCCCTTTTTCCTTTGGCTGACAAACACGACTCGGAAGCCCGGTCGATCCTTCGATTACTCTCGCCTACCAATCAGACGCGTGGTACGATAGGATCTGCCCATCGCGCGACGAACCTGATTGGCGAAGCCCAAAGTCGCGACGGATCAACATGGCTTCCGTAGCGTGCTCCTCGCCAAGTCTTCTCCTCCTGCTTCTTTTCTTACACTTTGACTTTCCCCCTGCCTTCTCTCTCCCTTGCCCCCCTTCTCGCCACTATAAATTTCGCAAACACGCCCGCAAATCTCTCTTACGTTCTCGACTCCTGAGCCAGCTTTCGGGAAGCAGTGGATAGGCAAAGTGTTTGATGCGAGTTGGAAAGTCCTGTTGGGCTGTCGATAGGCTGGCCGGTTGCGCACTTGATCGCCACGACGGACTGTGGCATCTGGGCGAACCGCGTCGAGTTTACATCAGCGGGGTGACGATCGCAATGGTGGGAGTTAGCACGCGACGGCCGGGATCGTCGGTGCGGGTATGAGGATCAATGATTGGAGTTGAGTGGGTGATTGGCCCGGGGCCATATCGGAGTTAATGGCGAATGTGCCTTTGTTATTGCGGATCTTTATCTCTGGCGTGAGTGCACGGCGGCAACGCCGAACTTCCTCCTTTCGGATCTTGTCATCTTCTATCTCGACTTTCCTCCCTCATCTCCCTCTCTCTCTTCTATCTTTGAATAATGATGTGTCTCGGTGTTTGTCTCCCCCTTGGATGAGTATGAATCTGTGTGTTTTCTGGTGTGAAAGAACTTCTTCCGGAACTCTTCCATTAGTTTACTAGGTAGTCCCCATATGTCGAGGAATTGACCCTCCTGTCTTGTGAACGGTGGATGCGTGTGTACAATTCCCTCGGTTGATTTCTGACTCGTATACCCCTGTCATTTTCGCACCTTCCACAATGAATGTATGTATGAAGATGCGCGTCTTTTCGTGTTGACTAGACGCAAACCCCAACAGGATTTTGTTCGAGAATGCAAGAGTGTTTAGATCTGTAGTTTTGAAAGCCCTGCACATGCCATCTCCCTTATGCTGCACGACATCAGCAACCGAGCCACCGGGCGGTCTCGGGAAACAAGGCGCCTAGGATCAACGTTGCGTTGGCTTACTAAACCTGAGTCGCGGGTCGATCCCTTAGTTACATGCCTGATCAAGCTGATGAGTGTTTTCTTTCTCTCTCTCGTGTTGAAAAGAAGTGATTGGTGGTGGCGCGAGTGTTTTCTTTTCTTGATGACGTCCCGGAAGTTTTGCAATTGATTGACATTTGGACTGACAAACACCCTGCGATTGGGCGTCAGCCTCCCGTATCTCCCGTATCAACACGACCTTTTCCTTACAACGAGGAAAGGACATGTGTATGCGAGTGGGACGTACGAGAAGCCGTCTCACGAATTGGCGGGCAATATTACTTTCCTCCAAAAAATCGTTGTTTAGGGTTCGTAGAGGCTGGGTTTGTCATTATCGATACACACTTTCCACCCTACTCGATATTGTTGCCATTCAACGAGTTGATAGTCATCCCGTGGACGACAGTAGAACCCCACTGGCCGCGCACTCTATGCACCGAATGCCAGCGCTTTGAGCGCTACGAAACCAGGGGTTTCCACTACCATGTGCGGAGTGAAGACGAACATAGAGAAAGAGCCACGTGACTAAGACCATCGACGTCGGATTCAGAACTGGTCAGTGAACGACGACGGTATTTAATACGGAAACGAGACACGCGAAGCGTGCCGAAGCCTTTCTGTTCTAAACGACGGGCCATAGCCAGGTGGGAAGTCCGACAATATTTTCTGGATTGAATTCATATTTCTCTCTCCTCTCGCACCAAACTTCCGCGCGCATTTTGCGTCGCTCGAAAAATGATCGACTTACTTCATTGGACCAACACGGGGGATCTCAGTTTCGTCTGTGTCCCCACACTCAATTTCCAAAAATCCTTGGCACACCCCATCTTGCTGTTTTTCTGGGCCTCTTTCCGCACATCTAACACTCCGAACGAAAGACAGCACAGGGCGTGAGGTTGCGCGTCACATACAGCCTACTTCCTACACAGCTACAGTCTGCCTAGTAATTGACAATGCAACTGTTGACGTCAGCAGCCCACGAAGTACTTGAAGATGTCGCCCAATGCAGACCATAGCCAATACCAGGTATGTGCCCTCACATCATCATCATCATCATCCTTCTATCTCTCTCCCCCCTGACTTACTCCCACGTCTTCCCTTTATACACCCGAAGACCACCCCTGCGGCTCACTGTAGTCCAAGCCCATCCAGCTATGGAGGCTGGGCTATGGCGCTGCCCTCAGCAGCGCCCTGCTTCCTGCACGACCGCACGCGCTAGCACCTTGCCTCTCAGTGCCAGCAGCAGCTCACGAGCGTCCGCTCCAGCAGCACTGCCGCCAGCATGCAAGTGCTGAATGAGGCTCCAGGCAGCGAGCTCTTTCCTATATGGAAAGAGCCTGCCTGCCTTCGCAGCCTGGCTGGYCTGGGCCTGGGCCCAGAAGCTTCCGGTAGGCCCCTGGATGTTGCGCCTCTGTTGCAGCTACTGGGCCTCATTCGGTTGGGCCTCCCAACTGTCTGTGTACGAGCCTGCGATTCTCGTCCAGGGCCTGCATCATTTTGGAAAGGCCTGGAAGGTCGTGGAATGTCTCACTGCTCGGCCTGTGTTTCCCTCGACCAACTGGCACTGCCTGGACCCCAAATACGATATTGACAGCTTAGGGCCTCTCGAGATGTGTTAGGCCCACCTTCACTTAGGGCAGCAAGAGGCCCCTTAGGCCTGCCGGGGACCCAGATCCTCGCATTTGGGAAAAAAAAAGAAAAAAGGTCCATGGCTTTGTAATTTTCAACTAACAAAGTCCTACCTTTCCTTATCTGGGACATGTCCTTCGGGACATCCGTTAAAATTGGAACCATACAGAGAAGATTAGCATGGCCCCTGCGCAAGGATGACACGCATAAATCGAGAAATGCTTATCCGGGACGCTGCCCCCAGCGGCCAGCAGCTGCAGTGGTGTGCTGAAGCAGTGCTTTTTTTTTTTTTTTTTTTTTTTTTTTGGGTTCCCAGGTTTTCGTGGAAGGGAAGAAAAAGAAAACAATTGTGCTTTTCATCTTTTAACTAAGAACGTGGCCCAATCTAATGGTGGGGAGCTGCACCTCCTGCCACTCCTGGCAGGATCCTGGAGAAAGAAAGATTAAACACAATGGACCCAACAGTAGAAGAAGATGCCTTGAGCATTAATATCGCGGTGTACAACATCTTCTCCTCACCTTTCCTATAAGTTACGGAAACTCAACCCTTCAACTCAATACACCACTCAGATTGAAAACCTGGAGAAAGAAAACCTGGTACAGCATTCCATACATCGGTAGCAGGTTCGCTGACAATAGGGTCGAGCATCTCACAAAATGTGGTCAGTTGTCAGGCGAATACACACTTATAGTCAACCACGGCTGACAGCTCTGATGATTTCCCTGGGGGGGACTTCACCATAGAAAATAGGGAAGGATGGACTGCGCTTCTCGGATTGACTGTCAGTCTGTCACAAAGCTGCACCTGCTGGAATGAGAGGTCCAGCCCCAGGTAGGTTGTGTCGATGGCACAGTCGCAAACCAACTGCTGCAATATATTGTGAATAGAAAATGGGCCTCTCAAAAAAAAAAAAAAGGGAAGTACGTTTATGTCACATGGGAGTTTGTAATGGGCATAAATAACACAACTGTGCAACTTTGTCATGGCCTGAGTTTGAAAAGGAGGTTGGCAGTGGTGTCAGGGTGGCAATTGGTTAAGGCGATTTTTTTTTTTTTTTTTTTGGCATTTTTTTTTCTGGCCGAATTGTTTTTTCTTTTTTTTTCTTTTTTTTTCCCGCGACTGTGGCCCGTCACGGCCATGGCCAGCCGCGGGCGTGGCCTAGGCATCACGGCCGTGGCCACAAGGAAAAAAAAA